CATACTCTGAACCCCGATTTTTAATTTACTTATCTTGGTGTGAAGGTTGCCACAGGTACACTCTCCAACAAGAAATTTGGAAATAATCAAATACTTAGCACATGTATGTCACATGCTTACTCACCTAAATTTTCTCGGAGTGCAGTGTAGCTTCTTGCTTACGGCAGCTTTTTGTCGGTAAGAGCAGTCGGAGTAAGGAGGGTTAAAATTGAAACAAAAACATGGTAGCAACTAAGGGCGCCACGTAACTTAAAAAAAATGATTGTTTCTTAGTCTTGCAAAAGTTACGGAATACAAAACTTTGTTCCAATTCGGTGTTAAAGAATTATATAACACTATACATGTGTAAAGGAAGGTTAGGTTGATTAAACATGAACGAGCAAAATAAAAAAAATTTGATAAAACAAAAATTTCGTGTAATCTGTTCACCAATCTTTCTAATTGACACTGATTTTTTTCATAAATAAAAGGTACAAAAAAATATTTGGTTCTTTGATTATTAACTAATTATGCTTTAGGCATCCCCCATAGTACTGCATTAGCTCTTCAGCTCACATAAGCAGTTGGTAATATAATATAATAAGTAACATGCGTTCTGGCAGAGCAATTAAAAATGTCCAAGTAAAAAAAAAAATTAATAATAAATTAAAGATCTGGCCTCTTCACTTTCGAGGATTCTCCCTCTCTCTCTAAATTCGGTTAGCAATGGCAGTAACGTTAGTCAGTCCTCTCCTTGTTCAGCCAGTGTATACCATTTCATAAAAAAAAAAAAAATTATCCCCTTATGGAAGGGTGAAATCCTAATCAGCTTATTCGTCAAAAAGCACAGTAATCTAGAACAGAAACCTAGTATGGTAACCTAGCACTGTAACCAAGCACTGTAACCTAGCACCCTAAAATTAAAGCAGAAATTATCATCTGAATTTAGTCCCAAAAAAACATTAAACTCACCTTCTTCTGAAGGGTTGCTACAAAGAAACAATTGTGGGAACAAAAAAAACACCCACGTAGGAGATTAAATCTCAGGTACTCAATTGTGTGACTACAATAAAAAAACGTTCATTATAAATAATTATCTAGTAAATGAATTACTTACGAAAAAAAAATTTGGTAACACTTTCTGGATTTCCAAAAAAAATTTTTGATACCATCCAACTTCCAGAGTTGCAGCAAATCGAGACACAATAACTCGAACGAGGAAAGTGTAGCTATGAATTTCTATGAAGAGCCAAATAAAAATGAAAAATGTGTATCACACCTGAACCCACAGCTAATCACTAGTCATCTGCCTTCAACATGTCTACCCGGAAGGTATATCAAAAAAGTCCTTCCTGAGAGGACATTATTTAGTACTCTCAGTGTAGTTTTGTTGGTACCAATGGATTTTTATAAAACCTATACTAATGTCACTCGAAAGCTATACAACCATGTAAAGAAAAGATCCTTAATATTAATCAAATATAAGTATCCGCCAAGAAATACTTTTCGAAGAAGTTCTGAAGGAACTAGCCACGTACCAACATTTACGGGTAAGTAATTAATGTACTACTTAATAATACAAGTCCTAAAACAAGTAGTGTCCTTTATAACCTTTATTTATTTTCAGGATATTTTCTCAATGAATTCCACAGAACTTAATGTTGCAAGTAGGAATGTTTCAAAAATAGATAGAGGAAAGTGTTGAGAAAACTTTTAGAACGTGGTGGACAGCTCAAATAACCACTCATTTAGGAAAATCACTGTTTACTGTTTGGATCTCAAGATGACCAATTCGTGATTAGGAGTCGATATTATTTAAATATATTATTATACCAGTTTGCAAAGTAGGTGTTATAATGTTTTCTTTGCATGTTGTTTATGTTAATTAGATATTGGCAGTATTTATATATATATTATATATTATATATATATATATATATATATATATATATATATATATATATATATATATATATATATATATATATATATATATATATATATATATATATATATATATATATATATATATATAAACATTAAATTCCAAAATATGTAAATACTTCCCTTTTATTTTGTATTCAAATTAAAATAGTCTTGAAAATATTTGATATAACACAAAAATTAATGTAAAAATTCACGAAACCTTAAATATTTTCAAATAGTTTTCAGCTACCAAAACAATACGTAAATAAAGAAAATATGGCAATACAAGTTCGGCCATATCACAGGGCACATTGTTTCATTGGTTGATTAACTGGCGACAATTTTAAATTAATCCAGAATATTATAAATTTTTTTGAAGTTAAAATTGTGTTTTAAATCCAACCACTTATGGATACTGATTACAAAATAGTGTAGAACCATATACAATAAAAAGAAATTCAACTTTTAATATAGTGGGAAATCCTCATTATAGATGTGAGGTTTACATGTCAAATTTTTAAAATATTTCATCTCAAAACTAAATATAATCCTGAACACACCAAATTTAACTGCAAGAGATAAACTGAAAGGAATTCAAATTGGTGATGTTAATGCTTTATTCATGATAATAACTTATACATATAAATTAACCCAACTAAATAATTACCGTCTATTTCAAACGTATTATCTTGACTGCTTTTGTGCTTTTATGTCATATTCGTTAAGCCGTAAAATATAAATGAAAGATAAATCCTGTTCTATTTTTTATTGCTGTCCTGATTACACAATACCCTAAATCCTATGGGCATAGAGGACATAGCTGAATTTTAGTAGTGAGGATTTTATTTGAAATTACAGGATTACAGGGTGGAACAAGATGAATATACCAATCGATTGCAACTAAAGGAATTAGGTCCCTGTGCAAATAATTTAGGATGATTCTTACATATTTGTAAATTATTTTTGTTTATTTATTTAAAATTTTATTAAATAATTTTTAGGGCAATGGCCTAATACCCAAATAAGAAGCGAGGATCATTGTAGCTTACCACTCCTTAGAATGATTTTAAAAGAAATTCAACTGAAAATATAAACAAGAATTAAGAAAACAGCTGAATATATCAACGCTAATTGGGCTATTCGAAAGTTTCTTCTCTACGTAATCGTAGTTTGCAGTAAAAAACTAGACTTATAATTTAAAAAACAAGTATCCTAATATCGACATCAGGATAAGCAAAATTGATTCTAGACTAATTTTACCTGAGAATAACTTCTCAACATGTCATCCGGTTGTTACTTATAGAGTTCAACTCTACAGTAGAAGCAACTGGCAATAGAGAGTTGTTAAGCATCCAAAATAACGTAACGTTATGAAGATACTATAACTTTATTTCAATACGTATCTACAAATAACGTGTTACCAAAAAGAGACTTGTTGAACAGTTACTTAATGAGCAATCGTTATTCGTTATTTTTGACAGCCTAACCTCACCCTAACTTTTGTATTTTTATTGTTTGGGTTAGTGCATAAAACTTATATAGTGAATATTATACCTATATATTACAGTATGGATAATGCTATTCAGATTATTATCAATCATAGGGATCGACAACAGAACGATGTCTATAACAATAACGTTAAGGTACATATACTACGTCTACTTTATCCCTCCGCAATTAAAGCTGACCGTTACCTTTATTAACGTTACCGCATTTCCTAATTGAAATTGCGCACGCGTAGATGTCAAAATAACGTTACGGTATTTCACAATTGGCTGCTCAACAACTCCCTATTATCGGTATAACCAATGTAATAAGAAGACTTAAGTTTGGATGTCATCCCAAAGACAAATTTTTAAACCTAATACTACATTCCGAATAACACGGGACATAATGGTAATAAATTAAATAAAACAAGATAGATTTATTGGGGTTCAAAATAAAACAAAGAAGGTTTAGTGCCATATTCCCCAAAAAGAAACAATTATGCAGCGTAGATCCAATTCCTTAGCTACGCTACGCTGATGAGGGGCAATAACTCCGAAACACGTGTCCGTAGCTGCATAATTGTTTCTTTTTGGGAATATGGCACTAAACCTTCTTTGTTTTAATAAATTAAATTATAATTTTCGACAGTGTACTTGCACATTGATTAATCAATCCTTTGTATGTAAAACTGGCACAATTGAGCGGTCGTCAACTGTCCAGAATTATATTGGCAGTATTGGCACTGATAAGCGACTGAGAATTGCATTATTTATGTATATAATGTCCAATGACGAATATCGTTAACGTCCGTAGGCGACTACCTGCTTGCTGTATGACCTATTTAGTATACATCCTTGCTCTATGCAGTTTGTAATTTGTTCGGTTCGAAAGCATTCTACCTAGCAATCTGTTGTATGCGGCGAGTATAAAGACATATTTTATTTAGTTGATTGATTCGACCTTTACTTGATGAAAATCCATTTTACAAATAAACACAAAAATAAACTTCTGTTTGATTTTCACAATTTTAATAAACTTATGACAATTGTTTCGCCACACAGTGGCTTCGTCAGATGGTGAGTACAAGTACAGTCTTGTACTCACCATCTGACGAAGCACTGTGTGGCGAAACAATTGTCATAAGTTTATTAAAATTGTGAAAATCAAACAGAAGTTTATTTTGTGTTTATTTACATATTTTATTTATTCGATATTTTCTGTTTAGTGTAGTGCGTTAATGGACATAAAAATGGCCAGGCAGTCCGCGTTTTTATCTAAAGTGTGAGACTGTCATCCGTAAATTCAGTCCAATTATTAGTAATTCGCTGTAATGAAACACGAGTCGTCGAAAAAACACCCAACTTTGATTATCGGAGATAAACAAAGACGGCGAAAGGAGATGTTATATAACGAAGTTTACAAGGTAAATACTTTTTATTGTGCTGTCTGCTTCTGTAATTTACGTCATGACGTCCAAATTCTCTAAGTCTAATAATAAACATCTAACAGTGAGTTTTAACAATTCCAAAACCCCATTCCAGTACTTATACGGCAATACATGTCTATCAAGAAAATTATACTGTCGTTAATCGTTTGGAAAAACTGTAGGCCCAATGGCTTAGTGCTTACACGTTAAGCTTGAAACCAAGAGGTCCCGGGTTCGAATCCTGGTTAGGGCATGGATTTATAGTGGCGTTATTAAAATACTGAGATGGTAGCGTTGTTGTGTGGCAGAACACATGGTTAGTCACTGTCTATCTCCCCTAGGTTTGAGTCTCAGCTGCGACATCTGGCAAATGTCGTAGGGAATGGTTGTTGTGTGTGTCACTGTCCTGGTTGAGTGGTGGCATAGCCATTTGCTAAACTCCACCAGGACATTAATATAAACAAGCCCTTAAAAAAAATCTTCCAAACGCTTTTTTCAGTAACTAAGGTCAGAGGAACTCTTTGAATCAACTCTAAATGCGAAAGTGGTATCAGGGATTGGTTTTATGAAGGTCTTATGAAGTATCAAGGCTCTATAGAAAGAAGTACTGCCCCATTCTTTCTCTCCCTATGAAAGTTAAACACAAAACCCATGCCGTGTTGAAAGATTAAAAATTTAAGGACACAAAAATAATATTTTGCAATATAACTCTGCTTATTCTAAAACTGGTTTCAGTATGCTTACCTTCGGTTTACAGATATAGGTCGCTTTCGTTGAAGGTGACGAATATTGTCAGTTTGTTGAAAATGAAGATTATTTCCAATTTTAATAATAAATATTTGTTTTAAATTAAATTTTCATTATAAATATTTTCCTTTTATGAGATTACTATATGATTGAGTATCTGGTGACTATCTGTACTGAAAATAAATTTTCTCAATAAAATTTATTTTTATGTCCAATCGGACAAGGCTCTTTAAAAGAGTTCTAACTTTTGCTAGTACTTGTGTTCTTCATATATGAATCAACATAAAAGAAATTAAAATGTTTAGATTACAAAATATTGGTGATGTATAAAATTTTCTATTATATGCATTTATATTAAATTCAATTCGTGAACACACTGCTGTATATACCTGTGCTTTTATTTTAAACAGCAGGACTCACAACTTTTTTAAAAAGTTAATCTTGACAAGGAATTTCTTATGAATTAAAGCATCTCGTCTTGAAAATACATAGCGTTGAAGATATTTGTAAAATAATGTTGACCTCAGATCACGTACAGCTGAAAATAATAATTTTAAATTTGATGTCATGCAATAGCAGTAAGGATTATTATCCAGTATAAGAACTATTTATTTATAACGCAAAATGGGACTCGAAAAATAAGAACCTGGTTTCATTTATGTGGCTAGAAATATTACGTCATTGAATGAAACCCAGAATTAAGTAATCAATAAATTTTCAAAAAAAATTAATGTGTTCGTATATTCAGAGTGGGAGACAAGTCATGTGTTCATAGTAAACATTAGTTTATATCATGTTGAAAAATGTCTATATTCCTAATAATTTCAAAATAAGTTAACACCTATCGGTCTAAAACAAGATATACAATATTTTCAGTAAATGTGCCGAGACAGTAAAACATCGGTTCAATTTTGAATTTCATCCAGCAGCTATAAATATGGAGCCAAGAACCCCCTTAGTAACATAATAAATCAATGGTTGGAAAATGACCAGGGGCCGGAAATATTTTCCATATTTCAGAGCCGGCACATATAAAACAAATATAAATATTAACACACCACATAAAAATGCATGTGGTGTGTTGATTTATATACCTGTAATATATGCAACCACTATCGAAGCTAAAAAGTGCCAAAATTCTGCGGGTATCCGGAACTCTCTCATGTTCAATTATAGGTAGCTTGGCTGTTTCCAGTGGTATCCCCAGTTCAGTTATCTTAGCAATGTAAAAATATGCGTTTCCATCGCTGTGGTCTTTGATTTGGTTCTCACATAAAAGTTATTGAAAACTACGGTAACTTAACAATAGATGGTGTACATATTCTGTGTACTCCCTGCAATCGACGTTACGTATTTCATACACGCTGTAATTGTGAAAGACATAAATTTGGCTTTCCATTGACAAAATATTGCCGTACAGTTATAAAAGAGAAATTATTTATGATTTGGGTGTCAGCAGTTTTCCTTTACCTAGTAGCCGTACATTGCGTTACAGATGTCTACCAAGTGTGTATAAAATTGCTGTGGGTAATATTATAGTGTGCCAAGGTGATTTTTCCGTTAACAGTTTTCTATTGTAACCAAACCTAAATGGGTTTTTCGGTCACTTTGGTACACCCTGTATACGATAATTTGTGTTAATATTTCTTTTAAAACCATTTTGAACCAATGTTAAATTTATTTTGCAAGTCCAGTATTTGGAATAACAATTATGTCTCCAATATAATTGTCTCAAACATGTTTCCTTCCAGGGTTATCTTAGTTGATTTTATTATTCTGGTGATAAATCGCTTAGCGTGTTTGTACTCAATCAAGTAGGAGGAAAGTAGTTTAATTTAATCTAGTTTGATTTCAAAGAAAGTTGAAATCATTTATTTATGGTAAAGAATTATGTTTCTATTTATTTAATAATTTACCAGATAAGTTAATAGTTCATTTATTTTAAATATTAATACATGGCCGTTTTAAATTATTTTTTTCGGAAATGTAGTTTTAAAGTATGAGAAAGCGGAATTTGTTTAAACGTATTTCGCTAAGCGTGCTTAAAAAATCTTGCCCCTCCACATCAACCGCAATTCTGATCCTCGCACAGAGAGTCATGTGACTTTCTCGTCATCATCCGTTGGGAACAAATCCGTGCACATGGCTTAAAAAAATCACTTCTGCTCCGGTGAGTTCTCAGGCTAGAAGCACTCAGTTCCCGATCTCTAGAGCACTCCACAACCAGTTAGTGGTAAGAATAATTTTGACCATTTTACTCTTCTTATTTGTATTTCCGTCATTTTACCGTTTGTGTCCGAATTTACTCTTGTATTATTTTGTCCGTAGTACCTGTTTTTCTGAATAAGTCAGAGATATTCAGGAAATTTCGCGATTCATTGATAAAGTTGGGTTATCCATTCAATGACGAGCATCAGAATTATTCGTTTGTCATTTTTATTTAGTATTGGCGTAAAGATAGAACTTTTTATCCTCGATTTGTGTAAAGAATCCCATCTCAGTAGTAGTTGAATTACTTAGTACCGGTGAAACCTTTAAGCTTCGATCTGTGAAAACGATTTCATCAGGTACACGCGAAGTGGCACAATTGAAGTTTTTAATCCTCGATCTGTGGAAAGAATCTCACTACTTGCTCCGGGAGGTAGTACATGATCCAATTAAAACTGAGTTATACAGAAAGTAAGCTTGAAGTTATTTTGGCAACCCATTACTCTAATCTACCACTAACTAACGAAAATTAACCTCGAATATCTCCAGTCACTCACGCATATCGCTGATTTAGAAGTTTAAGGGACAGTTTACAATTAAAGCCCGAATTAGTGAAACTGAACTTCTGCTATGTAGTTAGACGACCACCGGAAATATTTGGTTTTCATTTCTAGTTACTGTTGATGTAAAGATAGGACCTTTAAGCCTCAATCTGTGGAAAAAGTTCCAACTCAATCTTAGTTGAACTAGTACCAGTGAAATCTTTAAGCCACGATCTGTAGAAGGAATATCATCAGGTACGCTCGAATACAAACAGTTCCGTCCGCCACTCGTAGTCAGGAAACACTAACAAGGGATATTAGTAGCTAATCTAAAGCACGTTCGCGATTAGGGCAGTCAAATGTACCACCTGTCCCTGGACTGACCTCCTTCACTTGTATCTTGTTTGCATTCCGTAACCGCTTACCACCAAACATACCTGCTGCACCGACCGCCTGTCGTAATACCACCTTAAGCATTAGTGACTAGAGTCATTAACCGCTTGCTGTAAATACCAGTTGTAGTAGGTACAGTAACTATGCTTTTATTTCGAATCACCGCTTGCTTGCTTTTGTAGACGCTTGTAGTAAACATTAGATAGTAATACCGTAGTAGTCGTTTCCGTAACTTAGCTGTGCTTGATAAACTGATCACCGCTTTATATTACATAACCTTTTGCTTGGTTTTCGTTGGTTGCTTACTTGTAATATAGGTTAATATTTACATTGTATTATAACATGGTGTATATATTAATTTTTTTATTCTGTTGTTACACAGTCTTAAATAAATACAGTAGGTACAGTTGAGAGTCTGCCTTTTATTTAAAGCAAAGGTATAAGTAAGTAAATCCGTTTGCACACCGAGATTCGTTTTCGGCAGGTAAGATGAAGTTGTCCATTGCTGTGCAACCGACAACCACACACACAGACCGCCTGGACATTCCATTTCTTCACTGAGTTATCCTAGCTTCTATCATACCGCTGACAGAATAAAGTGGTGTTCTTACACTTTAAAACAGGAACTGGTGCTCGAAACCGTACCGTAATAAAAAGTTGAAAATACCGCTGCTGTACTGAAGCATGCTAAAATGACAGGTCACACAAAAATAACATTTTGTTACGTCACAATAGAGGACGTACCAAATCATTTTTTGTGGGTGACAGTGGATGAAATAACTGACTATCGGTGTAATTAGGTTGTAAATGCTATACTAAGAATTTTGAGCGTTCAAAAAGCTTTGTCTCTATCAGAGGGCAAATGTGGGGCTATAAACAATAAATTAAAAAATATCTTACACAGGAACAGGGATGCAAAACAAGGTGTGAAATTTGTAAAAATTATCTGCTCGGTTTGTCAGTGCCTGCCCATGTGAACTAAAATTTGCAACTTTAACCTCGACAGATGTGGAACGTTCATATATGTAGATCAAATCGCTCAAATTTAACAGCCCTTTATTTTTCTATGTATGTCATTCTGTCAACCATATGAGACAAGTAGCAATCGGTCATGGACTCCAGATTAGTTTCCAGACCCTGAATTAATGACCCATATTGTATTATTGCAAAGCATTTAAAACTGCTGTAACTTATGACAGTCTATTTTTAATAAGCTCTATACATTTTCTTATACTCTATATTTTTTTGTAAGGTGGTGGTTCTTGGGGCACGAATTAAAAAAAAACCAAAAAAAATTTCTACGTAAAATTCAATATTATCTCCAAGAATACTGTATAAATTGAATCACAGATTTTTGTAAATT